CCTGAGCTCATTGAAATTTTGGCAATTTTTTGCTTGGACTGTCAAACAGTGAATCATTAACATTTGCCCATCTCCTGGAAATCAAGAATTTCGAAATTTAAGCAGTCAAGGTTAGGCAGGGCTCCTTCTAATCTTACGGCTAATCTATCTGTCCCCAGCTCACCTCAGCCCTCTCCCTTTGCTCACTGCTGTTGCCAAATTGCTCAGTTCTGGTCGCAACTTATTAGCTTTTTGGCCACTTAGCCTAAGTGCTTTGGCCCTCTGATTGGCCTGGCCAATAGTTAGTTTAGCCTGTAAGTTCTTCATCTCTGCGCACATTTTTTCTGCTCTGCTTAACTTGTTAGATTCTGTTTTCTTTTGTGCGTCGCTGTCGCTGCTGCCTGGCTTTGTGTACACCACCAATGGGGGGACCACCCATGGCCATGGCCCTGACCATTGCCGTTGGCATCCCTAACACTATGCCAGCCCCAGACCTAGACCCAGACCCAAAGCTAAGCCGAGGCTATGGTTAAGCCGCAGTCTCTGCGATGACAGCATAACGACGCATTCAAATTCCGCTCTATTGATAAACAAACAAACCGATTACGCAGCGGTGTGCTGGCAACGATCCAGCACCACCCAGCACCATCCAACACCACCCAGCACCACCCATTCGCTGCCCGTTGTGATAATTGTGTGTGTGTAATCAGCGCAGCAGTTGGCATTGCTCTAGCTACGTCGTCGAATTCCTAGTAAATGCAATGAACTCGAATCTCTCTCAGCTTTAAGCATCTCGCATTGCGGCCTTTACGGCGCTCGCTTTAAAATGCGCGCCACCTGGCGGCCGGTAGTGGCAGCTACGTCTGAATACATTGGCATACTTTTGTATTGAGCGCTCTGGAGCATTGCATCATTGCATTCGAAACTGAAAATGACAGGCATAGATATTGGTCTGTGCGACTGCGGTTGCCTGTGTGGTTGGTGGGTGGTTGGGTGGTGCAGACAATGGCCAAACATTCAATCGATAAAGACCAATAATTGTCGTCGAGCTGCTCGCCTCGGTGATATGATGTGACCTTTGTCTGTGCCGGAACGTTTTTGTGCTCCGAAGGCGCTTTCAATTTTACATAATATCGGAGCAGCACTACAACGGGAATTGATCCCAAACACCATATAAGCGGCACTTGTCACTGGCAGAAACGGCGCATGGTTTATGTTCTTGCATTTTACAGAAATGCAAATGCGTCACTTTGAAATGCCATAAAAGATTGAGTTGCAAAAGTTATGCAGTAGACAAAAGGCGTATTCCGCATAGCCGATTAAGTCGTATGTGTGTAGATAGGTCTGCACAGTGCAGGTAGTGCTTGGAAAAAATTGGAGCCAAAATCAAGGGAAGGACCAAGATACGTTGAATGCGGGAACGGTACGGATTCTGAAAAGAGGATATGGGAAGGAAAGACACACAATCTTAGGAAGGAGTCTGGGGAGACCTACGCCTTTTTGGTTACGTTACTGCAGAAGTTCGTTTCAGATTGACCACAAATCTGCCAGAGTATTTGATATACATATGCCACTTGGGGGCACAGCAAAGCAAAGTTGAAGTTCTGAAATTGGAGTGCCAAAAATTTGATATTTCGATTACGAAAGTCTCTCCTTAGACTTTAATAAAAATGTCTATAAAAGAGTATTATGACGCCCAGCTCTCTCTCTCTCAAGTTTCCTAGGAATAACTCTTCCTTGGAAAAGCTGATATAAAGGCCTTCTTCCCACTTCTCTTCATCTTACCTACTGCATTCTCGACTGTCCCAGGACTTACTCAATCATCGCTTACTGCATTTCTGCCACTTAAAGTAACCTCGAGTTCATGCAGCTCACGGACTTTGGCACCTTAGGTCAATTGCATAATATGACCCAAAATGACCAGCGTTGCGGTCAACTCTTTGGCCAACTGTTGCCAGCCCGTTAACTTGGTTGGGGTTCACCTTTGGCCTGAGCATCGATATCAGTTGAGGAGAGTTCAAGGTTTACAATTTCATAAATTTTCATTGTCATTGTGTGGCGCTTGCATGCTCTCGCTTTTCATTCAGCTAGACGAATCCCCATCGAAATTCCAAACGCTGGCGGGCCAAACACCTGGCGGCTGCATGGCTTCTTGCTTGTTATTGTCAACTCGACGCCGGCCTACAGATATTACCACTCTGCTGCTGGGTGAAGGTACTGTCTGCTGTCGGGTCGAGTCGAGTCGAGTCGAAGGTTCATCAGCTTCTCGGATTATTTGTGTGGCACCGGTGACGTCACCTCAACACCTAAATCAACTGTGAAACGTAGCGCAAAATTTAATTGACATTTGCATTGATTTTAACGAGAACTAATCCGCCAGTCTGTCAGGCACATGGAACACCAGCTACCCCACCCAAAAAAGAGATGCAGACATCGATGCGGATTCGCAGACGTGGGCTTGTTTATTCGCATGTCAAATCAGTTCGCATAGAGCGTGGACAGAGTGTGTGGATAGAGATAGCTCCAGGCCATGGGCTCAACTTTATGGGCGTGTACATAGGCAGCGGCTGGGCTCAGCGGAGTCAGTGGGGCCACGACGAGGCTGTGCACTGAACTGTGTGGTGCCAGCAACGTGGTGGTGCGACGCGGCACAGTGTGGTGCACCACAGTGGTGCTCTGATGGGACACAGCGGTCAGCACATGCTCCACGAGCTCAGCCCACTTGAGCAGTCCATGTGGTGCCAAGTGCAGCTCAGCTTGAGTGGAGCTCCACAGAGTCAAGAGAAGTGTGAAAATCTGAAAGGCAAAAAGCGGAAAAGTGGAAAACTTGAGAACTCTTATAATGAAGTAAAATGATGTAGAATGATGTCGAATGATGTATGTATGTACGTATTTGTTCCTTAGATGTATAATCTAACATTGATTTGCAATGCATTTAAAGCTATTCATCTTAACCAGGCGAAGATCAAGTTGCTTGGCCAAATCAGCTCAAGATTTCTAAGTTTCTATAAAATCGATAAATTTCGATAATCAATTTGCTGTTAAGGCATTATACTAACACCTATACAATGCCTGTTTGCCTGCATGAGCTTTCCCCCGTCAGCAAACAGGGAATTCACGAGTCGTTTCCATTTCAGTTGAGGCCCGCCTTCTTGCTCATTAAGGGCCCGCCAATGGACAACAATGGAGGCAGCCGTCTGCTGATGTTTATTGAATTGCTGTGGGCAGTCGGAAAGGCAGGCAGACGGAGCTATCAAAGGAACCAGCGCAGCAGATTGCAAATGCGAATTCTTTATTCCAAACAAATAGTGAATAGATGTAAGAGTAGAGAGACAGATAGACAGAAAGAGCATTGAAAATGGCAGGTAAAGTGTCAGAGGCAGAGAAAATAGATAGCAAGAGATAGATAGACGTGTTAGCTAGAAGAAGAAGCAGAATTTTGTCGTTGTTTTCTCTTTGGTTTCATCTTGTTGCTCGTTTAGTTGGCTTTTTTCGTGATCTCTACTGCTGGATCAGCACCACGCGCGGATCGGCGGAGATGGTCCAGATCAAGGGCTGCTGCTGACGCACCAGCTGGGTGGTGCGCACCGCTGGTCCCACAATGGGCGTGACGAGGCGGCGATGATCGTGCACCACCGTCTGACTCTGATGCGACACCGCTGTGGGCACATGCTCCACCAGCTCACCCAGCTTGGCCACCGTGGGCTCCTGTATGGTCAGCACGCTGCGCAGGCCCGACCGAGCGGAGACAATCAGTGGCAGTGGCACGGAGACGGGCACCGCAGTGACCAGGCGAGCGTCGGCGGCTTCGGCTATGGCATTGCTGGCGGACGCTTCAGCTGGCGCTTGCTCCGGCTCCGGCTCAGCCGAGGAGGCGCTGCTCTCGTTGACCAACTCGGCAGACTCTTCGCTAATGGCCAGCGGCAGAGCCGGCGACGAGGATTTGCTGCTGCTCAGAGCCACCAGATTGGCGGGCCATTCCAGTGTAGCAGCCCCAGCGGCAGACAGGCAAATGGCCGCAAAGGCGAAAAGGCTCAGGCGCTGCCAGGTGATCAGAGAGTGAGAGAAGTACTAGACTGGTCAATAGACTGACTCACCAGCTTGAACATGATCTGAGAATCTCGATAGGAAACTAGATGAAGGCAGCTAATTGACTGATGCTGCAACCAGAACTTGGTCCAGCTTTTATAGCAGACGTTGCGCCTCACTGAAGCGAGAACATAACTAGATCGATGATTTTGGGGGGTGTATATCAAACGGGTATGCCCGGCCAAGCAGCTGCTTTGAAATTCTTAGAAGATCGAGGAATCTATCCCATCTTTAACATTTGTACATCACTCCATTCTGACTCTTCTACTCCCTCAAGCCTAAACTATTTACCTATATACCCTTAATATACCCATTATTATAGCAACACGATTTCCAACGTAAAACCAGAAACATTTATTTTTTATATTTTTGAAATTTGATATAATACATTGAATACATTGAATACTCTTAAATGAAATTCTCCGGGATGGGTATGTCGCACTTGTGCTTCTCCACCGTCCCAACGTGAAACCATAAACATTTATTGTGTGATATCTTGAACAATACGATAGTGCGAGAGGGCGAATCATAGGCTAGGAGCAAGTCTGATTAGTGTGCTTTGAAGAACTCAGCTAATAAAAGTATGACGTAGAACTAGACACATTTACAGTTTGATATCCTGAACGAATGAAGAAAGGACCGAAAGGAAAAAACCCATAGGTGTCTTGTAAATACTTTGGCTGCGTAGAGTCGATTCTGCGGCATGGATCTGCGGCATGTCGCACTTGTGTGTCTCCTCCATCCAAACGTAGAGGTGTGTAGTGTACAGTAAACATTCGCTGAACGAGAACAGATCTTCTGGGATGGGTATGTCGCACTTGTGCTTCTCCACCATCCAAAAGTAAAACCAGAAACATCTAAGTATTTGATATCTTGAAAGTTAAGAGCAAGAGGCAACGCGTGATGAAGAGGGGCAGGGCAAGTCCGATTAGTGTACGGTTAGAGCAGATTCTCTGGCAGGGGTATGTCGCACTTGTGCTTCTCCCCCAGCCAGAAGTGCTCCAGATAGCTGATGGGATCCTTGGGCTGATCACGGGCCAGAGCCACCATGCCCTCCATCATGATGGGCACCACCTCGCGGTCCAGGTATGCGCGTAGCTCGTCGTTAGAGCGATAGTACTCAGGCTTTTCGCATGCGGGCTCCGCCTCGCCTTTCTTGGGCTTTGGTGGTTTCTTAATCGATTCGCATTTGACGACTTGCGGTGGTTTTTCTACGGGCGCTGGCTTCGGTGGCGGCGGCAAATCCTTCTTGCAGCACATAACCCAATTCTTTTTGCTGGATTTCTTCTTCTTCTTGACCACGACATCATCACAGTTTTCATCTGCTTCAGCCATTTTGTGGAAAATTCAATTATTTTCCAGTGATCGAAAATACAAAAAGTGTTTGGAAAAATGATGAAAAATTTTGTTGTTTACTTTACTGTGTTGTTTCTATATATGAACTAAAATGTCTAAGGTCTACGCTGAGTCGGTAAATATGACACAGAGCTCAGAAATGCTATGCTAACTTGATGTAGCTGTTGCAAATATCAAAATCAACTCGGAATATATCCATAAAAATAAAGTAAAATATATTTATTTATTTAAGCATTTTTTGTGGGGTATACTATACTATATTAAAGTCTAAGTACTATAGCTTCCTTAAAAATAAAATTAAATATTTTAAATATTTTTTATTTAGAGAAACCCCATCAATTCAGAGCCCCATCCCTGCACATACCCTGTAAAAAGTTGCAAGCATGAAATGCAAAAGTTTATCTTAATTAAATTGAATTTATTGAAACACAATTCTCGTTGTATTGTTACAAACAATCCGAACGCACACACCTACACATACACATACACATACAGAGATCTGGGAGTATTCGGCATGAAAACCCGTTCAACACACCCGCCATGCCTGCGGCCGACTCCTGCTCGGTCGGACTTAAGCCGCTTAGCGCTAGATGGCGCCACGTGTGGCAACTTATGCAATCGGAGCCGTCGCCGGGGCTACGCAAATGAAGCGCAGCATCTGCCACTCGAATGCGCACCGTGCCAGCACTCGAATGGCTAGCCATATATACGTACATATCAGGTAAACGATATATGATATACAAATGTGATCCACATGCAGGCTCAATCAAGTTTTGAAAACGATGTGCGCGGTGCCAGCGCAATTTTTCGTTTGAAAAACTTGTTTAAGTCCGCATTGAGGCCGCCGAAGAGCGCGTAGCACAAGCGATTCTCCAGCTGCCAGATGAAGTGGTCCATCCGATGGAATACCGCAAGTATCCGGAAGATCGTCAGAGCGAGCAGCACGCACAGCTGCAGCTGACACCGCCTCAGGCCGAGCAGCAGGCGACTGTGGTTCAGCTGCACCAGGTAGAGCCAGGTAACGAGCAGCGCCAGCTTGGAGTTGCTGCGTAGTGGTCATCAATGCAGTGGGATTGGGTTCAAGCGGGATGGCGTGCTCAGACTCACGTGCTCAGCTTCACATAGGCGACATTCTGCAGCTGGCATCGATTGATGAGCAGCGCTGCGACGGGCTTCAGGAACTCGGCTCCGCTGCCTATTACAGTGCCAATTATCAGAATGGGCAACGTGGCGCTTCGTCCATAGATCTTGGTGGCCAGCTGCACGCCCCGCTCGATGTGCAGCACCTGGTTGAGCGCCGTGACCGGTGCGACCAGGCAGCGGCAGGCCGCCGAGCGGCCCACGGCATAGGCCACATCGAACGGGCTGTAGAAGACGATGTACCAGGCGGCTGTGCACAGCGCCACATCCTGGGCGTTGTTCAGTGGCTCCAGCGGCAGACTGCCCAGCAGGAGGCTGACCAGGATGTCGCCCGCATAGCTCAGCAGTATGTGCGTCAGCCAGAGCGTGAAGGGTCGCATCTTCTGGCTGCGGCGTCCGGCCGAGGTCTTCCACAGCTCGTCGCGCAGCTGAACGGCGATGAATGCGTGGTGCAGGCCGCGAAAGACGATGTGGTTCGATAGTTGCTTGAGCAGCTGCTGCCAGTGCATCGTTGGCGTCGCATGCAGAGCCGGCTGCTGAGATCCGTTGCCACTCCTGCCTCCTGCCTCCTGCCTCCTTTCTGTCTTCCTTCGCGCTTCAGTGTTCGCGACGTTCGTTCGGATCGCAGTCGTTGTAGAAACTTTGAAAGCTCACTTGAATTTCGAGACGGTTTTCAAATTGTTTGCTTAATTAAAAAAAATTTCTTGAAATGTGTAAAACACGAACTAAACTAACTGAAGCTGCGTGTGTGCGTGTGTGTGTGCGAGTGGGTGGGACTGAGCCCGCAGCGAGGCGTAGCTTATGTTGCGCACGGGCTTGATGCGGGGCAGCGTCTGATGCACCACCGGATGGGCGGCGTAGGTGAGATGCGCCGGTGTGTGGTGCACTTCCGGAACCTCCAACCCTTTGTTGACCTTTGCATTGACAATGCGCACAGTGGGCGTGGCCAGGATTAGCTGCGGCTGCGGCGCTGTCGACAGCCGCACAAAGCTTTGATGGGAGATGGCGCTGCCCGCCGCCTGCCCAGCCTTTGGCGTGTGCACAATGGTCGCTGCCCAGCTGGACGCGAACATAGCCGAAACGAGGAGGATTAGCAGCAGCTGTCCCACTGCGGCGATATACATGCTGAATAACCGTTGTCAGTGGAGCAAATAAAGCCAAACGAGCTGCGCCCCGAGCGTTTTTATAGCTAATCGCTACGAGAGACTCTTGAACAGCTGCTGCTAAGGTCGACGGCAGCCGAACCCTTCCACGCGCTTAATTAATTAATCAAAGTAGCCAGAAAGCAAAGAAAGAAATCAAATAAAAAAGTGCGTCAATTGAAACGCACTTAAAGCTTCAATTACGCGCCTGGGGCTAATTGTTAAAGGTGGCGAACGCAGCTAATTGAAGGCGAAGAGATGGAGGTGGAGAGGGGGCGAGAGACAGAGAGAGAGAGGGGAATGAGAGAGACGAAAAGCAACTGCTTATAAAGCAAAGTAACAAAGTTACAAATTTTATGTGATGTATGCCTGTCAAATACACTGTAATTAGTTAGACTTTTGAGAGGCTATATATGCTGGCAAATGGGAATATTTCCACAAATTTTATAGAGTTGCCCAAGAAAATGTTTTGTATCAAGAGATACTTTCAGAAGTTGTTCTAGCATAATATTAGTTTTTGGTAAATAATAGATACCCCACATAATAAATTTAATGTGGTCCGAATATATGTTGTGATTTGCTTGAAGAGTAAAAGTGTTCATAGTTTAATGTGTTCTCATATTATTTCCTAGGAATATATAACTACAAGAAATATATATATTTATGTACAGCAAATGAAAAAGGGAAATAAATATGAAATACATTTTAATGAAATGATAAAATAATAAATAAATATAAATAAAATAAAAAAGAATTTATATATATGGATATACATATATATGATGTATAAAATAATAAACAAATATCGATAAAATAAGATAATAAATTTCTATATGTACATACATACATATATAGATATACCCTTAAGGTAGATATATTCATAAGAATCGCTACTACTTATATGCCCATATTCAGGCCCTTTACAGGGTATCTAAAAGCAATAGATTTCAGCTACAAGCTGCCGCCGCCGAGGGGCGACCAACCTTCAGCGGGTTGCGCATGCGTTGCCATAGCCAGACTTAGCTGACTCGCACCACTCGCAGCACCACTGACACCACTCACTGTTGTTGTTGTTGTTAGTAATTGTTGTTATTGTTATTACTACAATATTTGCGGCATTCGCTCGTATTTATTTATACACTTCTTTTCGTTTTTTCTTCGTTTTTTGTGTGTGTTTTATTGCTTTACGTAAAGCGTCCAAGTTGAGACACTCCCACAATTGCAAGAGAAACCAGCACCAGCACAGAGCAGAGTCAGAGGCGTCGCCCCCGTAGCTACACCCTCGACTGCCCCGCTTGGCACTACGAGCGGTACGCCACTGGTTTGGGCCAGCAATTGCTCGACTGTGATTTCATGGCACAGCAATTCACACTGCCATTCAGTTTAGCTTAGCCACTCGCTTCGTTTTCGTGTTTATTGAGGCTGCCAAGCAGCGGAAAAATAAATCTAGAGCCGCCACCGCCATCGCCCCCGCCCCCAACTCAAGCGCTTAGACAAAGATAATGCGGCTATTGGTGAGTTTATGATCTAAAGACTATGTGGCATCTATATTTATACTTGAATCGTCTTGCAGCTGCTGCTGGGACTGTTGGGACTCTTGGCTCTGGCCTTGGCCAGGCCCAAGCAGATGCTGCTGATCGATTCGGCGCCGTCGGTCGTCTCGTACCAGGGCTCCTCGCAGACGCACACCCGCTTTGTCATTGCGCCGATGGGCCGTGCTCTGGGCTATGTGGAGCCCACGAATGTGAATCGCACCTTTCATACGAACTCCAGCTCGACCAGCCTCTCAGCTGGCCATGAAGTACTCCAAATTCGACCCGTCTATGTGCCCTGAGAATCTTTGTAGTCGCATGTCATTGAGCTAGGCTGTGTGTTATACGTATACGTGCATCAGTATTGTAAGGGGTACGAACATACTCGGAAATATACGAAAATACCCAAAATTTTATATATATCCCATTCTTAAAAGATTTTTTAATTCTTGTAAAAAAAAAACCCCCCAAACGGCCATAAATAAGTATAGATCATGTCGCTAGCTCGTCGTTATTCCCGACTGCCGGCGCCTGGGGCGATGCTGAAGCTGGTGCAGGCCTCGGAGACGGCCCTGGAGGAGTCCGCCCTGGATTTCTATGAGAAGAACAATTTGACATGGCGCGCGCAGTTCACGAATCCCTCCCTGGCCCGGCTCGGCATCGGCACCGAGTTCCTGCCGGCGAAGAGCAAGCGGCAGAAGTCGTCGACGAACGGCGACACTGAATCGGAGAATCAGCAGAACGGTAATAGAACCTATCGCATCTATAATGTTTCTGAATTTCTGGACTATTTGCCGGAAATCGATTCGGACTACGAGAACTTTGTGCCGATCTCCACACTCACGCCCAATTCAAATTTCTGACTTGTACAATAATCCAGCAATGCAAAAGCATTCCATCTAATAGCAAACCCAAACCAAACAAATTTTCTTCTTGTCTGCTCACGACTCCCGTATCTGATCTGTTCTTCTCTTCCTACTCCTCAATCGCAGGATGGTCGTGTCTGCTCAATCGCTGTCGCATCTGAAATGCTGTCGGCCAGCGACTGACCCGTCCCAACGGATACCGCCGCACTTTTATATACATACTATGTAATCGCTCAACGCTCGCTGTCTCTCTCTCTCTCTCTCTCTGTCTCCCTCTGCCTTTCTGTGTTTGTCTCTTTCGCTTCCACTGCTTTGTGAAATAAATGTGCATTTCATCTTATATTCACAATCTGTTCGACCTTCGCTCGGCGGCGGCGTCAGAGCCCTAGACTTGGTTGGCTTTAAGACAGCGCTTTGAGCCTTCACGAAGGTTGATCTGTGTGGGTGTACCTGTGTGCCTGTGTGTGTGTGTCAAGCGTAGCTTTGACTGATTAAAGTAGGCTTTTTGTCTTGTACTTGAATGATTGATATCGTGACACGGGCACGCACGAAATGCTGTTCTCTAATTCAAATTCGTTTCGTATGCCAAGCGTGCTGAGCTTTAGCTTCTAGTTGTGATAAATTGACCCTATGCAGATGGCAAGAGTTATAAAAATACTACTACTCGAGTGTCTGCTGATAGATTAAGTCTGCTACAGCTGTGACTGATTGAAGTCGGTTTTGCTTAGGCACTCGAATGATTGGTAGAATTTAGGAGAACTTCAAGAGCTTCTTTGGGTTTCGTGTCAACATTTATTAAGCTCTAGAGAGCTTTAGCGATTGCAACTGCTATTTTAAGATAATATATTATCTTTTATTTTTAGCTAATGATATTTTAAAACTCTAACTGTAAAATATGAACAACTTTGATTGAAATAGGATTTTATCCATTGATTGATGACTGGATGATTGATGATACAATACACTTTCCTATTATTACCTATGATTGATGGTAAAATATACGTTATTTATATCCCATTTGTTCCACATTGCAATAGTTGATTGCAGAATAACTCAAAGCTGAGTTCAGGGTTTCAGATATCAGACATTTTACCAACTAAGGTATTCTAACAATTGAGATTCAATAATATCATACAATCATTACTCAATATGTTGAATATATTAGAAAATATATATTTATTAAAATCTATTAGTATTGTTCACTCTAGGAAATAATCTTTTAATGTTCCCACATCAATCACTGACTTGCCTACAAAGCGCAACTTCAGCTCTGTTTGCTGCCAGGAGATCCCTTCCGCCCGCTTAATCCAGCAATGCCCCAGTTCAAGTTCAATGCTGACCCCGCAAAAAGAAAATAAAATAAAATAAAAAACTATGAAATAATAAAATGATAAGCAATTTGCTCGAAACAAGTTTGCAAATTTGCTTTGCGTTTGCTTTGGTCTGTGTTTGTGTTTGTGTTTGACTCGGGTTTGTTTGCGTTTGCTTGAAGGACACTTGGGCAAACACTTTGACGATATAAAAGTCCGGAGCAGCTGCCTCAACAGCAACAGTCTCTCGTCAGCTGCAATCCAACTAAAAACCCAACTCTAAAAAAATGTTCCGTTTCGTAAGTTGCTAAGGGGAGTAAGGATCCTGGATTTCGCCTAATCCTGTTTCAACATTATAGATCGCTATCTGTGCCCTGGCCACCATTGCCGCTGCCGCACCTGGCTTCGTGGAGCAGCATCATGTGGTGGCAGCACCCGTCGTTGCCAAGGTAGGCGCAGTGGTGCACAGCGCACCCGTGGCTACGTCCCACCAGAGCTTCACGCAGTTCCACAACCAGGCGGTCATCACGCCCGTGATCAAGCAGGTGGCTCCAGTGGTGCCCGTCGTCAAGCAGGTGGCTCCAGTGGTGCCCGTCGTCAAGCAGGTGGCTCCTGTGGTGCCCGTCGTCAGCCATGTGGCTCCCGTGGTGCCCGTCGTCAAGCACGTGGCTCCAGTCGTCCAGCACCAGACCTATGTGGCGCCCGTGTCCGTTGTGAAGACTTTGCCCCACGCTGTCTCCCACCAGAGCCACACCCAGATCCACCAGAAGTCCATCATCACCCCGGTGGTTGCACCCGTGCTCAAGACCATTGCCACGCCCGTGGTCAAGCATGTTGCCGTCGCTCCCGTCGCCCACGTCTACCATCACTAAGAATGTTTTCTGCTTGACTTGTTGATTATTTGAAATAAATTGGGAGTGTTAAATGAAGCTACGAATTTCTTATTTTATTTCACAATTACTGTATAAACATATACATATTTCTATATTTAAACAAATTTTAATTTAATATATACATTGAGCTTTTAAACGAACAAGGCAATGAAATATCAGGCATCAGTGGATTTATTGAGGCTTTATGTTAGCTAACATAGATGTTTATGTTATCTAACATGATTGCTTGTGTATATGAATGGATCAATACATAGAATGAAACTTACATATATAGATTTATATATACATACATATATCAACAATGTTTGTATGCCTTTCAATAATTTTTCTCATTTAATTTATATTTATTTATTATGTAGAAATTCTCTTCTATTAGAATGTATTTCCTGCACGGAAAATCTTTACAATTTATTCTATTATACTCTACGCCATTGAATTGAATTCCCATGAAAAATATGTTATGCTACTTTTGGTTCACAACATTTCATGTTATGCATTTCAGTTTATTCTGTTCACAGAATATACTAATTATTTTAAACAAAAGAAAAAGGTCTTGGCTATGTTTAGAAATGTCTGTTGGGCATGCCATAGAAACAGATTCCTAGTATTAATAGATAAATGACTGATGAGTGAAGAGTCTAAGAGTTCATTATTATTCCAATTGAATACCCAATCAGTCCAATTAGAGATAAGCTGAAGGCTATCAAATTTCTGCATCGATTTATATACAAAATTATAATTCCATTTTAATTCCAAAATATAAAAATCTGACTGCTTCTCCTGATCACATCCCTAGCTAACAGGATATTATAAATATTTCGAGTTTTAGTTTAAAAATTCAGTTTTATTTTGTTCATTTTGCACATAGATCGCTACAAGGAGCATTAGGGCCTATTTGTGGAGGGCAGTGTAGGCAACTGGAGCGCTGACGACGGTCTTGACCAGAGGAGCCGAGTGCACCACGGGAACAGAGTGCAGCAGGGGGGCAGCGTGCACGACTGGAGCAGCGGCGTAGGTGCTGACAACGGGAGCGGCATGGACGACGGGAACAGAGTGAACCAATGGAGCGGCATGGACAACTGGAGCAGCGTGCAAGGTCTGGACAACGGGCACCTTGCGCACCAGATTCACATTGCTCTGGTGGGTGATGGCCGAGGAGGCGCTGGTGTCCACATAGGCGGTCTTGGTCAGCACAGCGGGCTGCACAATGGAGTGGGTGGCGGCCAACAGACCAGGAGCAGCTGAAGCCACAGCAACACAGGCAAACAAGGCGATCTGCAAAGAGTAGACGAGCATTTATACCCCTATCCACTCACACACTCAACTCAACTGAGAAACTTACGAGCTTGAACATTTTGGAGTTTGGTTGGGTTTGGTTTGGTTGGAGTTGTGAGTCGATTGCAACTGCTGATGTTTGGGGCATTGAACGAGCGCTTTTATACGAAGCTGGACTGTAGTTATTTTCGTTGATTACCTTTTTTTTCTTGTTTTATTATTTTACTTTTGACTATTTATGGTTATTTCAATTCTGGTTGGGCTTGAACTTGAGCCGTCAACCGGTTTGGCTAAGAGAGCAGCTTCTAAGCCTCGATAAATATCCAATGGGAAGTTCATTAACTGACCTAGGTCTGGCCATTGTAAACCGCTTTAAGTGTGTGTGCCTGTGTGTGTGTATGGTGTGGGTGTATGTGTGTGTAATAGGAAGCTAAGTACTTGCTTATTGTGCCATAAGTCTCGCTGCTGCTGCTGCTGCTGTTGCTGACAATTGAATCAGCTTCAATGGGAGCTCTAATTGGCTTTAGCTTTGCTCTGCGCTTACGCAAATTGTTAAGAAGTTGTGTGTGTGTGGGTGAGTGGGTGTGTGGGTATGGTTTATCCTGCGGTTGACTTAATCTTAAGTGCATCTGCTGGCATTTCGCTTTTATCTTCAGCATCAATGCCATCTTCATTGGCATTTGCGTCGACCTAATTGAGTTGCAATCATTCTCTTACACATTGACAACTTGCATTTCATTTCATCATGCGTGGGCGTGTTCCCTATATGTGAGTGTGTGTGAGTGTGAGCGCGTCTTCTTGACTAAGTCTTGTGTGTGGTCCCATCAATTGAGTTATGTGTCTCGCTTGTGACGTTACGTCCTCTAATCGATACGAATTGGAACTGCCAGAAGTCGCGCCTCTTGCGAAACTCACTCGACGTCATGAGAGAGACAGAAATTGAAAGAATTTGATATGTTTCATAAGAGAGCATTAAACGATTTCATAGGTGGCCGCATAACAGCACAAGGCTCGTATGAGAGCTACGCAATCGCCAAAGACATCCCAAAAAGAGTTCAATGAAAGTGTCTTAAGTGTCGCAATTAGAGCGAGCAGGTGAAAGACGAGCTCTGCTCTTAATAGAACAACAATTTATATAACCTAATGGAATCCCTAGAGCACTTTACAGAAAGACAAGCGATAAAAAACTGTTATGCAAAAATGAAAAAGTTAATTGTTTCGCCCAGAGCGTTCTGTGAATAGAACAAATATCAGAATTCAGAATTCAGCCAGAGAGGTTGACATAGGACATATGGAAGTCAATAGCATCTCAATTAGGGAAACATCTAAGATTTGTATTCAACCAAACATCTCCCATGTGTGGAAACCACAACAAAAGAAGCCTTGTCGACCTTAATAGACAATTTGTCTAATCGATAGAATCATTACGACAACCGTACAGCATATTTCCGGGCTTCATTTATAAAGTTTAATTGGCATGGCAGAAGGTCAATCTCATTTTTATAGGCTTCTAATCAATTATATTTTTGTGAGATGTCATTTACCTTTACGAAATCCCCGAAACGTGCGAAACTTATTTCTTAGAGTTCAATTTGTTATTATCAATAGAAATGTCAAGAATAAGATATGCGATACAAACTGAAACTGTTATACAAAAGTTAACTTAGTCTTTATTTAGTCTACATCTAAGTATAACACTTCTTGGGAACTGTTATACATTACTCAAATGAATATAAATCCTTCACATAGCTAAGATTTTTTGGTAAATCCGTTTTTATTAGCAACAGATGCTTTCTTAGTATAACAGTAAGTATAACATTAAAGTGAAGATCCTCGCTTAATATCAATAACATAATTTCCAAGTATATACGAGTTTTTGGTTAGGCTACATCTAGCTTAGCGATTTCAGCTTGTCACGGACATTAGCCTCGTTTCTGCTTTCAAATCTTGAACTTGATTCAATTTTGTTGTTGACCCAGTTTCACAGTTGATATCCAGAACACGACTGCAAGACATGCCTTGCCCTTATTCACGCATTTATGATGAGGGGCGACGGTGGCACGCCGCGAGACAATAAGAAATAAATTATACACATTGCAATTGGAGCTGCAACATTCAAATTAAAGAAAAATTGCAACATCGACAGACGCGTAATCGTGGTCGACGCAAAGATCCAGTTGATGTTGATTGTTGTCTCTGTGATTCATGGCCAAAAGCCAGAGCCACATATGCTGCGGCTGCTGTTGTTGCTGCTGTTGTTGTTATTGTAGATAGCCATAAAAATACAGCCAAGTGCAGCTGCCGCTGTTAAGTGCCCACTTAAGAGGCTCCGGCTCAGGCCCTATGTCAAGGTTAAACCACGGACGACAAGCCCCACGCGTACTTAGCCCACAATTGTTTTTGTTTATAATTTATTTATTTTTTTTGACAAGATCTTTGAATATTTTTTGTCTTATTTTAATTTTATTTTTATGTTATTGTAATGTCGCGCCGCACGCCGTGACAGTTACACGTACTTAAGATAAATATCGTCAAAAATTCATTTAACAAAATGAAATACGCAGCCAAAGTTTACAAGACTCGTCGTGCTCCGCTCTTCACTCCCCGCCCCTTTTGCATTTGCCTCTGCCTCTACCTCTGCTGGATCGTAAATCCTAATTTCTGTGATGTGACAGTTGCAGTTGAGGTAGGTTGCTGCGGAATGTGAATGAGTGATTCAATGAAGTTAGTTGGCCGCGTGGCTCAGTGGTTGGGGAGGACGTTTTGCTGTGCTTAGATTGGGCTAGTTGTATGAGTCCTGTAAGCGTTGCTTATAGATCAATGATCAATATTTTGAGCTGAATGATCTTCACTATTTCATACTTAGCTTGCCCATCAATCAGTCAGTACATCAAATTATTGACCTTAGCTTCTTCATCATTCAGTCACTTCATTGATCAACCACTGCTTCAATTATTTCTACTAGTTCCTTTTATTCAATCTCTTTATGCCCTTTACACATAGCTTGCTCATCAATCAAATCAATCAGTCAATCAATCAAACAGTCAATCATCGACTAGTCCGAGCAGAATAAACATTCATTGCCCACAGCAGGCAAAGATTAGAATATATTTCTATGTTTATCCTTTATTGCTTTCTATCCTGTCTCTAGCTTGTTCATCTATCAGTCGATAAGAAGAGTCTTTGATCAATATATATGCCTACTTCATTTGCCTTTACATTAAAATATATTCAAGATCTCTCTCTCTCTCTCTCAACCTCATTGAGTGTGCGAATCTGCCATCAGATTGTTAACCAGTTCAGCCCATTTGATTGCTTTAGGCCTTCAGTTAATCCAGCGCAACAAATCGACAATTGTCAATTTGTCGCTTTGATAATTTGCCCATTTCAACAATTTTGGCCAAACAATTGTCAACAATGCCAACTTTCGGTATATAAACGTCTCGTAGGCCTCATTGCGGCATGAGTTCTTACTGGAGTTCGGTGCTCGCCAATTCAAATTAAGACTAGATCCAATTCAACAGACAGAAACAACATGAACAGAGCGGTAAGCGACAACTTGAGTTCTCTATTTGAAGCACATCTGAATACTCTTTCCCATTTCGGCAGTTGCTTTACTCTTTGGCATTTGCCGCCTGCTTGGCCTTTATTGCCGGAGATGCTGTGTGGTTGCTCAGACAGACTGGGATTGAGGCTAACAATCAGAGCTGTCAATACAATGAAAATCTCATCAGGCATATGCATTCATCACAGATCTCGCTTCCACTCCTTTGGAGCCAGGCGAGCAGTGGCCGGCTTAGCTTGAGCTAGGAGTATTTGCTAGCTTTGTATTTGTTGTTGATAATTTTATTTACTTTTATTTCTAATAAAATGTTGAATGTTAATTGTAGATTTTTTTTAATGAAAAAAATTGATACAGAGTTAACTTTGTTAAAATTTCTTCCTTTTTTTCTATAAGAAAAATATTTTATATATTTTTCTGAGGTATTTTTACATATATTTTAAATATTAAAAGGCGTTAATTCAGGTTTCAATAATACTTTTTAATGTCTTTTTTATTTTACATATTTTTATGATCATAACAAAACAATGTCCATAAAAGGTCCTTAATGATGCAGAGTGTAGGCCAGAGGAGCTGTGTGCAGCACGGACTTGACCAGAGGAGCGGAGTGGACGACTGGCACCACAGCAGGAGCAACATGGACGGCATGGACAGCTGGAGCAGCGTGGATGGTGGTCTTCAGGACGGGAGCAACAACGTGCTGGACGACTGGCTTGCTGTGGACCTGGGTGATGCTCTGGTGGGAGACAGCCGAGGGAGCGCTATGGACAACGGTGCCCACCTTGGCCAGCACGGGCTCGTGGAGCACGCTGTGAGTCTCAATGAGACCGGCGCTGACGGAGGCAACCAGAAGGGCAATAATGGCGATCTATGGAATGAACAGGATATCCTTTAGCTTAGCTCAGCTCCATCTACGCATCCAAATGAACTTACGTATTTGAACATGTTGAGTTGGGTTGGTTTGTTGGGACTGATGGTTGTCTTGCGCTGAAGATGACGGGGTCAACTGATGCTGTTGGGTTCTGTGTGAAACGCTTTTATAGCTAAGGGCTTCCATATCAGCCAGAGAAGTCGTTTACCTTGATGCTGATAAGACAGCAGCAGCAGCAGCAGCAGCAGCCGCAGCAGTCGTAGCAGAGCTCGAGTCGTGCCTGCATTTGCTTCGTGAGCTGCAGCTGTCGGAAATGAAGACAAACAAGTTGAGTTCGGCTTTGGTTTGGGGAGTCGGCGTTGGACTTATGCTGAGTCGCTGTGAAGGCCGCAGCTGTGGCTCTCGTGTGCTCCTCGACTCGTGCTCGTTCTATATAAACACGACTGCAGACCCCCGAAATATCATCAGTCACAATTCAAAGCTAAGCGAGTTCAACTTCAAGCAAGCCCAACACACAAAATGTTCAAATACGTAAGTTCACTTTGCTTTAACGAGCTGAACTCCAAATTCATTTCTTTCCCTTGCTCCTTGCACAGGTCGCCATTGTTGCCCTTCTGGTTGCCTCCGTCAGCGCCGGTCTCATTGAGACTCATAGCGTGCTCCACGAGCCCGTGCTGGCCAAGGTGGGCACCGTTGTCCACAGCGCTCCCTCGGCTGTCTCCCACCAGAGCATCACCCAGGTCCACAGCAAGCCAGTCGTCCAGCACGTTGTTGCTCCCGTCCTGAAGACCACCATCCACGCTGCTCCAGCTGTCCATGCCGTCCATGTTGCTCCTGCTGTGGTGCCAGTCGTCCACTCCGCTCCTCTGGTCAAGTCCGTGCTGCATACAGCTCCCCTGGCCTACACTCTGCACCATTAGATGTGACTTTATCTCTGCGAACGCTTGATTGTGATAGGATTCAATGATTTTTATTTTTGAGTAAAGTTTTTGTTTCATTTAAAATTCATGCTGTCTGCAAATGGCTGTCTTATACTCAGAATTCATTATCTGGCTGTCTTATACAGCTGCAGTCTTATGATAATGAATATACCGTTGCACACTTTTCGGCTTTTCGTGAAATTCAAAACACTTGAAATTCGCTCGCTATAGGAATTATTTGTCAGGGCATTTTATTGCATACAAACAGAACTAAAACATTTTTTTTTTTTGTGATTTTTCATTGTTGCTTAAACAGGGCACGTGAAATTTCAGTGGGCGAAACAATATCCGGACGGGGTACATGTCAGTGTGTGTGTGTCTGTGTGTGAGTCTGTCTTTGTGTCTGTCGTGCTTAGCTATTGGCAGCTCTCTTTTACCAGACGCTCTTGACCAGGATCGGCGAAGGATGCAGCTGGCTGACCGAGACGTGGGAGACGGCGCCGGGCACCACCTGCACGATGCGTGGTGCAATGGCCACGGGTCCGGCGACTACTGGCGGTGCGACAACAGGTCCCCAAATGCCGGGTCCCACCAGGGTGGGTCCCAGCAGGCTGGGCGATGGTGCTGGCGCCGGCACAGGCGCAGGAGCGGGTGCAGCAGCCGCCAGGCTCAGCAGAGCAACGAAAACGCACTGCAAAGCGAATAGAGTCAGGATTCGCACTGGACTAGAATATTTCCCATGCTGAGCCACTTACCAGCTTGAACATTTTAATAGGTTGATTGTTGGCAACGATTTGACATGCCATTGCATCGATCGCTGGCCTATTTATAGTGCATCAGTCGAGTGCATACTGTGCATGTGTGTGTGTGTGTGTGTGTGAACGCCTCTGCAGTCGCCATTTGGCTTGGTAACAAACACGGCTCAAACGACACGCGACACTTGATGCAGTTTGCAAACCCTTCCGGGGGCAGGTTCTCAACGTTCTCAATGTTCTCCATGTTCTCGATGTTCTCGATGTTCTTGTCTTGCTTGACTAGAGGCAACAGGTTATGGACATGGCCAGCTGTGAGGCAGGCGCGGCTGCTGCTGCCCACTCGTGCACGCGCGTGCAATGCGGCGTATGCTTGATATCGTTCCGCAAATCATACAAAATATATGACAAAGAAAGACCGATATGGCCATATGTATGTGTGTGTGTGTGTGCTGGCCTGCTCTTTGCACTTTTGGCTTGCATAAATTAAGCCAAAGCTGTTGGCAATTGTTGATTAATGTGAGCACTTTGCTACCCAACTGTCGCTCAGATTGTCTTGTGTAATATTCAAACGGTTGCACATCATGCATTTAGCTTAGCTCTTTCGTACTATTATGACCAAGCTGAGCTGGTGCAATAAAGCAATCAAAGCGTAGACAGGCCCAGGTTTTTAGATCAACCTGTTGCCAATCGAAGCATAGGACGGCTACTTAGCCACAAATAGTTATTTTGCATATTAGTTCAGTCTAAAATCGAGTTGAATTATTATATTAATAGTAATAAATATAAAATATTCATATATGAGAACTGCTATGGTATTATGCTTAGTTTTCAATTATAATCTTTATTAATTTTTAATTAATATTCATAAATGAACTTGCTTTGGTTTTAGAAGATTCTTTTTATCCAAGTATTTAAAATTGCTACAGTTTTATGTTGACTCTTATAATCCACCTTTAAATTATCAAGTCTCATTTTGTTTCAGCATCTATCTAGCCATTGCTCTGCCCACTCTCTGCCCGCTCTAGTCCCCTTTAAATAACATTTGTCACTGCTTGGCTCGCCGCCGACTTCGACTTGATTTGATTTTAATTGAGCGAGCTAGGAAATGCGCGCTTGAGTCTTTGGCCGTTCCCACTTTTCACCCACCTGAGCAGCTTTGCAGCTAATTAGCGCAATTTAGCTAAATGCTCGACGATTTGCCTGGACTTATGGGGCGGACGGCTTTGGCAGCTGATTGAATTGAATATGAGTTGATTCACGGCTGTTGCATTTGCGCTTATGCAAACATCGAGATGAACTTGAAATACTTATACTGGCGCACAGTCAGTTCGAGAAGAGCTTAAAGAGGTCAGTGTTTCGTCATCTACATGGTTTGCTACGCTTTGAACTGCAGTCAGTCGTAACAGATCTCTTTATCCATCTATCTATCTTTAGCACCATTTGTGGCACTCTGCATACGTTTTGCTAATGCACTCATTTGCATAACACAGAAACTGCATTTGACGCCACACACACACACACACACATGGCTCTGGGCAACGTGTCAGCCGTGTCGCTCATAAGCTTGGGAAGCAGCTCACAGCAGCGATTCACGCTGCCTGCCACTGGTGTCACATGATAACTCGCTGATTACATGCTAATTATGTCACCTAGGCGCTTCGCTTTGGGCCACCTCAGGCAGCCGCACACAATGGGCTGGCGACGTGCGCGTGCTGAGCTGATGAGCTCCATGTTTAGGGATAGTTTCTATAAGCACATACGCATCATGGTACATCGATTGCAGGTAACTGGAGGCTGCTCAGAGCTTAAATATCAGTCAGTCAGTTAGTCAAGCATAGCATAGATCTATGTTATATGCATGGCTAACTGATATTTCTAGAGAATTAATTTTGTATTTTTGTTTTTTTATATATATTTTCAGCTTGATTGCCAAGCAAGACATAGTTTATATTATATATGTATGTATTGCACATAAATATATGTAACTTGACACATTTATTTATATATTTCTCTCTATTTCTCACTTTCTATAATAATATACATATATATAAACGAAATCATCAAGAACTTTCAAATATTTCTTAACAATTTATTCCAAATCTAATTTTCATTCATTCGCTTTCATTATTATTTAATGTTATATCTAATGTATGTTAATTGTCTATGGGCATCTCCATTAACTGCGTGTCACGAAATATCGTCACGTGTCCATCTCTATATCTTACCACATGCGTTAACTTCCCCATTGCTGGCATTGTTTGCGCTGGTAACTGGCTTAAATAGATGCTTTATTGTCTTACGTTCCGGCCAAATGCAAACCAGTTCAATTGCCTAAAGAGCCGCAGAGTCGAGGGGCGATTGGATAATAATCAAGCAATCAGGGAAGCTAGACAGATAGATAGATAATCAGTTATGCCGCCGCTTTCCTCCTTGACGTCACTTTGCATATCAATTACGCCGCGTAGACGCAATCAAATGCGGCGTAGGCCGCAGACAGAAGCAAGCAATTGCGAAAGTAATTAAAATAAATATCTAGGAAAAATATTGTAATTAATTATAGCTATTTACTCTGCTAGGAATATAAACAAAATTTGTTTGATATATATTATTTAAACTTTTATTTAAAATTTCTCTAATTCATCGAGTTGAAGCTGTAGAACAATTTGCACACACATATACACATATACACAGCTGGTCAGCAGGCAGCGGGCGGGCGGGTGGCTAAGGTGGTTGGTGGGTTGGTGGTTGGTGTTTGGTGGTTCAGCCAGTCGAGTTTAGTGCAGATGATAGTCGTGGAAGTCGTGGTGATGATGGAAGTGATAGGGATCGTAGGGATAGGCCTTGATGATGGGCGCAGGATGATAGGTCTTGATGATGGGCGGATGCACCACAGTTTTCACCACAGTCGGCAGCACCACGGGCTTGATGATGTGATGCGGCACACTGTGCACCACCGTGGAGCTCTGGTGCGACACGGCCGCAGGCACATGCACAATCTTGGCCACATGCAGCGGCTCGATGTGGTGGTGCGCGGGATACAGCGGATACTCCGGATAATGATGGTGGTGGCCATGCAGGTATCCAGGACGGGCAGCGGCCAAGGCGCACAGCGCGAGCATCGAAAGCAGCTGGAAAGGATTACAAGAGTGAGTCCCCAAGGATATTCCATTATCCGATCCTTGCCCTTACCAATTTGAGCATGTTGTATTTGCTATCCTCTTTTGCTTAGTGTGGGGTGCTCGATGGCTTGCCGCGTGCAACTGATGCCACCATGACACCACGCAGTGGCTTTTATACACTTGGCATCTTGCATCAGCTGCCAGTGGCTACAGCAGCAGCAGCAGCAGCAGCTGCCACTGCTCGACAGCCTCAGCAGCTGCAGATGCTCTCATTGTTTGTCGCGATTTTCAATGCAACGTTTCCGCAGCACCACCTCCCCCACTAAACAGCAGCAGCAGCAGCAGCAGCAGTAGCAGTAGCTCCACCACCACCGGCAGCAGCCACTTTGCTATATCCGCGCTGCCGGCTTTTAGCCATGTTGCCACTTGCATCCGCAGTTGCAGTTGCAGTTGCAGTTGTTGTTGCAGTTGTTGTTGCAGTTACCTTTGCCTCGGCTGTTGCAGCAGACGCTGTAATTGCTTCGCTTTTTGCATTGATAACACTGGCCTACAAGTGTTTAGTTTTCTGTGTATCTGTATCTGTATCTGTATCTGTATCTGTATCTGTATCTGTATCTGT